CAGTCCTTTCAGCCCAGATGGCGCGCGCGTCTGTTTAGATGCGCCATTGTCTTCTTAATCGGCTGCAGCAGACTCTGTCTCGCTGCGCGCCTAGTGGAGCTCAGACGCGATGAACCCGGGAAACGGGAGATGGGAGTCTCTGCGATTCGCGATTCTGCGAAGAGCTCTAGAGGCGGAGTTCTATGAATATGAGCTGCGATTCTGAACGTTTTTGTTTCTGAAAATGAAATGTATACACTGAATGGGCGAGGGTAATGTTTATTTCTATCAACAGAGTAGAGTATGATTCGTATTTACTGCGCGAATTTTTTTATGAAATTACAAATATGTTATCTAAAAAAGTATGATAACTAAATTAAACATGTATTCTAGAAAATTAACTGTACAACAATTAACAGTATTAATAGCTATAATAGAAACGACAAATTAATTGATTATGTGAACAACATACATGTACTTAGATATTCAACCATTATAGACCGTAACACACCAACATAGACCATTATAGACCGTAAGAATTTCCTTTACTTTCCAGCAATATCTTGACCATTTAACCGAGTAAAACTAATTTTTGGAGACTGACGGCATTTCTCTTTTTAATTTTGAGTGATTTCCAGTGAGTATTTGTGGCTCTTCGAAATGACTCCCGTTGCTCAAAGAACATCAGGGATACTCTGTCTTCAAGAAGCCCCACTGTTCCTTCACGTGCAAGCTAATTCTTTATGTTTTTCCTTTCCTGATACAATGTTGTGAGATTATCAGTATCAACAATCGCCATATCCAAAAACCATAATTTCGTCTTTATGTCATCTCAGTGTAGTATCATTGTAGTGATGACTGATGATCTATTAGTATACTTCGGTCCCAGTTAACAGTTATTAACTGTTATTTTAAGGGACATATTATTGGGTATGATAGTATGATGCTGAATCACAGATCTTGACAAGTTGGGATGGTGTAATACATCCCATCACCCGCACCCAACAGTTTGAAATATTATACTGAATAATCTCACCGCATTGATCCTACAGTCATCAGAGGACATATCGAGATATTTGCAAATAATTCCTTGATCTTCAGATAATTTATATGTAGATTCTATTTGCAATTACATGGCCTTGTGATGCAACCAAAAACCTCTAAGAACTGACTTATTTTGTCGATCTGTTTTGTATAAATATTGCAGATTTCTAAGATGCCTCAACCTCCTCTCTTCCTTTGGATAATGATCCTCTTTATTGAGCTTTTGGAATGTTAGAATTGGAAATGGGTCAGTTGAACCTTGATAATCCTTTCCGAAAATGCACTATCAGTTTTTACCATTTGGTGATCTCTAAGGAAAACAAAATTATTGATATTGGGAATTCATTAATTGTTTCTGTAATATTTTGTGAGTTGAGAAAGGTTTTGAATATGTTTTTCATTCTCTTAACAAGTTCCGCTTGAATTTTGCCTAACTTTAATGCGCATGACCAATTGCTTTTTCTCGATTCCTAGGCACTTATCAGTCTCATCAGTTATAGTGTTGTTTTAGTGTAATGTAATTTACTTTAATTCATTCTTGTATTTTATATTTTTCGATACCAAATTGTATTCCTATATTTTTGACGAACATTTAGTGACTCGCACAAGCTGCCTTAATCCCTATAAATTTTCGGAGTACATTACGATATTCTCTATGTGCGCTAGATGACTTGCATTACATTACCCTACGAGTACAATTAATGTCCTATTCCCATGTTTTCTAATAAAAAGCAGTGGGGATTCAAGGCAAGACAAAATCATCGAGGGCTGAGACTATCATCTGGAAGGATACCTGTAGATTCTAAATGTCTCGGTGACTTGGTACCTTTGGTGTTGTTGTTGTTATTATTATTATTATTATTATTATTATATTATTATTATATTATTATTAATTTATATTATTATTAAAATTATTAGTATTATTAGTATCAGTAGAATTCATAACAACGTCTGTTTTAAAAAGCTATAAATGCAGAGAAACAACGTAACTATAAATGTAATATAAAAATAATTAAAAATAATTATCATCTTCACCAAAATATTTAACGTCTAATTCAAAGCGTTGATCATACAAATAACAAATGAAACGTAACTGATCGTCGAGTAATCGTAGGAAAAATATGAACGGTACTCATTGTAAATTACATTACAATGAAACTCTAATTCTTTTTGCACCACTATCTGACGTTGTACAAAGCGACATTCATTTTTTATTGTGTCATCCATACCAAACTTACTTAATTAACAGTGCTTATGAATACTCCATCGTAATATTTTTCACATTCATAAATAAATGCGCTAAAACTTTCCACAACTAGGCAAAATAACTAACTTCAGTGACATAGTTCTAGGTTGTAAAACAGCAATTTCCCTCTCCAAACAATTGAACGGCTAGTGACTTTTGACGGGAAGAAAGGCATTGACGTCTCTCTTCTATAACGGTTCATCTCGTTGTCCATAAAGAATATCTTTGCTCCCTGTCTTGAGCTCTTATTGGCGACTGTCGCCAATTCTCCATGTAGACAGAAGATTCAAATTCTTTAGAAATCACACAGCTAGCGTCAGGTGTAATGTGATACTTTTTAAATGCTTAAATAACACATGTTTAATTAAATATCAAAATGCAGAATAAATCTTAATTTTACTTAAATATAAAACCATATACTGAAACGCTTTGTTAAATAGACAATTTAGTGTTTGGTCATTATAGTTACATATGCAGTATTAGCTCATTAAATAAACTTAGCTTCCAAATCACATCCAAAAACACTGCACATCCACAATCCGCACTACCCCTGAGAGAAAGACTCATTAAATTCATAAAGGACTTCAATATTGTTAAACCACTCGGCTCACCTGGACGTTTAAATCTCATCCCACCCTGGCTAGACCATTATATTACTATAAACACTGAGGTATCAAATACGCCTTATCTTTCCTCTGAATTTAATAGAAATGTCCAAGATAAGATAAAACAAGTTCTCGAAAAATATAACGAATTTTATCAATCTTAGACTGACATCCAAACGAGAAGGAAAAACTGGTTGTGCAGTAATTTTAACAAATGATAATAAAGTCCATCCATATTGTGTCCCGGATTACTTTTCCATTTTCACATGTGAGGCATGGGAAGTGCTGAACGCCATTGAAATCAGTATCAAATCTGCAAACAAGTTGCCTATTGTCACCTTTTCCGATTCAAAGATAAGGCGTATAGGTGTCAACCCGTAAAGTCATTAAAAACCGATATACCTACAATCTAATAATCCAAAATATCCAAAACATTATATTTATCCAAAACACAAAAGGAATCAAAGTATTGTGTCCATTGCCATTACAAGGTTACGGATCGGTCACGTTAACCTGACTTATGTGTTGAAAACAGCAACCCCAAACCCTGTTCTGAATGTGTCGCTACCATATCTACTCCACATATTATCTCAGAAGGCCAAGGACTCAGTAATGTTAGGAAAACACTGAAAATAGAAGGCAACTTAAACACACTGTTCAAATCAGAAGAAGGTTGCAAAAAATGTTTGAAATTACTAGAAATAAGCAAATTGATTAATGTAATATAATATCCATATACTTTCTGATATAACAATGTAATGATACAATAGGTTGTAACGTTTTAATTGCTGGTAATATACTGATGCAAACATAATGAAGTCACTGAGAACCTGCGCTGTTATAAAGCGACCATACATCTATAAAATTTTAATAAACCTTGATTAATTTATCAGGTTCAAAAATATCACATTTTAACAGTAACTCTCCACCTTTTTATCCTCCATCTCACCGTCTTAGTTGGCTCAGAACATTAAATCATATCACTTAACGAAACCTTCCAGCATCTTATTGAAAGTATGCTTGCGAGAATGGAAGCTGTCATCAAGGCTAAGGGTGGCTCAACGCACAATTGAATCCCAGCATTACTGATGAAGAACGCCACGAATTGGTAAGTCATTGTCAGCCACCCGTCCGGATACGTTTGATCGCATAGTGTATATCGATACTAGGCGTATTCGGCATATGATCTCAGGCGGCATGTGCTTCGACAAACGAAAATGCTGCGACAGATAACGATAGCTGGAGGTGTCACCGAATCTCTCGACACTGTTTATTACTCAAGTATTTCTGTACAAAATGATATGGCAAGCTTTTTTTATGATGAGAACAACAAGGCACGTTGCAATAATATTTACTGTGGTTTATAGTATTATAAACAGGAATCACAGGGAACGTTTCAGAAACACTTACTCTCTAACGCATCAAGTATTAAGCTTATAATTCTTCATTACATTGTAAACGTAAACTTAAAGCATATTTATCTCATAACTCACTTGTATCTCATTAATCGCTCACCTACAAGGTACTTATCTAGTAAAGAAAAATTACTTCAAAGCTGGAGCGAAAAGTAGCAAAAAAGTCGAATATTAAAGAGAAATAAATAATTATGAAGTGCTCGGTTTTTATTCAATCGTTCTGAATATGTAAGACCCTTACTTTCTTACTTCAAAGTAATTTTAATTAAAAAGTAGATTTCAGTGTATTCATCGGGATGTTTGAACAAACAATCCTACATTGACAAAGTAATATCCATTCTAATGTATAAGTTCATAATAGAAAATATTTGGTTTGATGTCGAAGAGATAACATTTATTATGTGACATTTTTATGTCATAATGCAAACATCTTTAAAACCAAATGCTTTTCATTTTTACTGATAATTTACAGTTTATCATTGCCTTTAGTAATTAGTTCGATATACGCTGTACAACGTACTTGGATCGAAACGACCGTGGTTGCGAGAAATATCAAAATAGTTGAATGATGCAAATTCGGGCCAAAGGCCTTCAAGCGTTGTGTCGCCGCTCGATCATTAGAACCCTTAAAACGCCCTTGGTGCATAAATAACAGTCTTCATAATAAAGGTATTTCGATTTACTTCTCACGAGTTTGACTCCTGGCCCTACCTCTTTGCGCGAAGACTCCTCCGCTCCGTCTTCCAGCCAGCTGCTCCTCGCAGGCGCGTTGGCTGTACGGCCTTCCCTTCAGACGAAGGCTCAGCAGCGAATGCCGTGCCGCGCCCCGCCTCGAACTCAGCACCGCAGCGCAGCGCAGCGCGCCGCCAGCCGCCTCGCCAGGCAGCTAATTGTTTAATTAAAGGCAGCGCCGGCGGTTTGACAAGTGCGCAGATAAAGGGCTGCGGTTAATTAGGACGAGGTACCCACCACCGCTCATCACGCACCTCCACCCTCCCCCCCATCGCCACCGAACCCTCCCCCTTCCCCCACCCCCACCCCTCGCCCTTTCCACCCCTCTGGCGGCATCGCTGCCACGCCGCCGATTGCCTTGTTATAAATGAGCGAGATCATAGCGTCGCCTATCTGCCGCATTGTGCCTATTGATTTAGTGCTTTATGGAGAATGAAATTAGCGTGTTAGCACCGAGCTGTGAAACATAATATTTGAATTTTCGCGACGCTGTTTTGCGTGCGAGCCAGTCGGCACTATGCGGTGCTGCGCTCGGCGTTTTTTTTCCGTCCTCCCTCCCTTCCTCCGCCCCGCCCCTTCCTCCGACACCCTGTCGCCCCGCCCCTTTCCGCTGCGAACGCAGTGATGCCGTGCTGCGGCGGTAAATGCGAATGTTTAATTCGCTCCCGCTGCAAACTGCATTACGGAAGTTCCGTTCGCGCTGTGCATTCCCGAATAATACACACGTATGAAGTACAGTGTGTAATGGGACTGCATTTCCGATGCTGGAAAATGTGTGCTGGCTCCTTTAGAACGATACGAAAAATCGGGGCAATTATATGTGCTCGCGGAAATCGGAGAACGATTTTGCTTCCGAAGAGATACTGATCTCTAACATTTATACGTCTGAGTAAATTTCGGTTAGTGCAGAAAATGTTCCTATTTAATTGTATGAAGATAGGATATTTTTAATGTTATCATTGTCTCATCGGAAACCATTAACAGTTATATCTAGTAAAACTGTATCGCATTTCCATATTTACACTGTTTTTTCTGAATGTATGTAGTAATTTGCTTGAATGTTTTTATTTATGTTGTATGCGTTTTGCCTTTCCTCATTTATTACTATCTAGTTGTATTCGTTTGTTACATCTAATTCTTGTAGCAGAAATTTCTAGTTTACTTTGAAAGTTAAAATCGAGCGTGTATATACTACTAGTGGCCTACAAAAGCAATAATGCTATTGTACAACCCCCCCCCAAATATTAGCCCTCACACTCCTACAATAACAAACAAAATACTCTTATTGGCACTGCAACATTTTTTTCAAAAACAGTCTCCAATAATATTGCGATAATATACTATAGTAGCTACATACGGATTCACAGTGCAACAATTCTATACCACTAAAGAATATAGTTGAAAGAAGTTGTTGCATAACGCAACACGTCAATTGCTAATATTTAATGGCAACCGGCTTCTTATGGATCCTTTCTGTCAGATGACAATGATTATTTATTTCTCTAACAACCAAATACGTTTTGCATACATTTCACTAAACGTCGGCTCTCTGTCTAATAATACACGTCTTACCCCGACGCCTGCTCATTCAAGAGGAAACCGTTACACTTCCGCCGATCAGATCGGCTCACGACCCTGCGCTCCCCTCCGAGATGGGGAGACCCTCCCCTCACGGGCAGGCAAGTTCACTCCATCGCTCTCGCGCGCTGGAACTCGCCCTGCTTCTCGCAAGAAATTTGGAATTCTTAGCTGTCGTGCTCAACGGGGGACCTACACATAGGTGTTGCGTGATTTGTGCAGAGTTCCTGGTTATACACACATCACAAAGTCGGTGGCTGTATAGTGTGACCACCTGTTTTGCAAATGAAAAGAGAAAAAACGTGGCACATTCCTCTTACCACAGAGAGTAGGTTGCGCATAGTGTCTCAAGGTAACAACAGGATACGTTATTAGCTAATAAGCCATGCAACTGCCATCTCTAGTGGAAAGCGCTCTTTCAATACAAAGCAGCCGAACGAACAGGTCGGGTTCCGTAGCAAAGCAGGACGAAGAATCATTTGCATTTAACACGGCCATTTTTAAGAAAATAATTGTTTAAAATTTAAAAATACCTACCATTGATGCAAAATATGGCAAAAAATACTCAATTTAAAAAAATTGAACTTAACTTTCTTTAAAGATCTGTTCTAATGAATACATTTCATTAAGTAAAAAATTATCTTCATACTTGTAGTTGTAAGTAAAAAAATTTAAACCTTTTGTAATTTAGGGATTTTATTGTAAAAAATGAGACCTGCCTATTCTCTTAAGTGTCCATTACGTTATCCAAGAACGAAATTTAATCAAACAATTTTGTGCTATCTTTGGAAAATTTTGTAAACGTTCAAGGAGCGTCATGCATATATCCCCAAAAATTAAAATTTCCGTTTCAAATTCAAATGGCCGCAACATCAGCCAAATCGATTTGGTAGTATCATTTTGACGAAAATCCTGTTTACAGTTTAGTCACTAGCGCTGCTCACATACATATGAACGTACGTTTTGACGTTAATCAATTTTTTGATATCAAGCACCCACAGAACATAGATTCAGCCTAAACAAAGTGTTAGAGGAAATATCTTACTATGTATAGGGACAAGATGTATCCCCTTTGTCGTCACCAGGGTCCGGTAATAAAAGTTTTTCTATCACAACTTCGCTTTTCTTTCACGCAGCATTACAGTACTTTTTCTATAATGCGTAAGCAGAACTGAGAAAATAACATTCTATTACTTTAATAAAGTAACCGTTATCTTTTATCTTGGTTTAGTTATTGATCTTTGCTGAAATTTCCAACTGATACTTGATTCTTACAAATTGCATGAATAGAACCAAAACATATTTAGTATATTTCATTAAGTATAAACAATTTAAGTGCAATACTTTTGCTTTTCTCACCTAATACGTACTTACATAGTAAAGTTGAAGCATTGTAATGTTGCAACAAAAAGTAGAGATTCATGATCAAGTTTCGAGGCGAATTTTCAAATTGTATTTTTGCTCTTTGCTTGCGTCGTAAATGACCTACAGGATTCTGAAAATCGCTGAGACTCCAACCGACGGTTCGCAAAGAGATGCGTCACCTCGCCAGGCTCCAGGTGGCTGAGGTCTGTGGTGACCGCCACAGCGCTTTCCCGTCCCCTCCCACTTTCCCTTTCTTACGGCCGTTGGCTCCGAGAACAATTAAATAAAACGCGGGCCGCGCGAAATCACGGCGTCTCGGGCGTTCGCGCCGGGGAGTAGCCTCGTGCGTAAAAAGATACGACCTCTTCGAGTGCAGTGGGGACGGTGGCGGCGCGCGGGGCGCGGAAAGAAATTAGAGACACGGGCCCGGCAGGCGGTTTACGTCCTCGTGCCAGCGCGAAACGACGCTGTCCGCGAAGAGGCGGGGACCCACTGGCGTCCGGGGGGAGATGGCGGGGACGAGAAGCCTTGCGGGACGAACAGGGTCGAATGTGGAGGCAGTGCCTGCATCCGGGGCGTGGACCTTTGGGCTTCGCTTATGATCGGGAAGGGAGGACGAGAAGGGAGAGTCGATAATGAAACACAGTACCTCTCGAAAAGAATGCTTGATTTGATTTGATTTATTTTGTCAATGAACAGTAAAAATTGTATGTGACGTATAGTGGTGAAGTGCAATCTACCGCACGTTGCTGAAAACGGTGCATAGATTTGAAGTATGCGACTAATAAGAAATAAAACGGTTATGCAGAAGTTGAATTGAATCTTACGTGACAATGGTGGGACATGCACTTTGCACATGCTACCAACGTCACGTTAGTTTTTCTGACGGTTATAGCAGATTAATGAAATGTTAGTCGCATTGCTGAAGGATAAATGCAGTTAAATTCTCATTAACGCTGAATATATGAGAGTGTCTGACGAGAAAATATCTGCTGTTAATATTTTTTTTGGCATCAAGATTTTTTGCGTCTGAGTACCAGATATGAAATAGAAAAAATTAATAATTTCATAAGCGCAGATATGATGTCAATATGCTTCTTATAGTGAGTATAATAAAGATAATGATCATTAAAGAAATATTAAAACAGATAGGGGCTTTCTTTCGTGTTATCAGATTTTGCAAAAATTAAACTCAAATATTATAAATATTACTTTTCTTAACGCGAAATATTACTTTAGTTTCGTGGCACCTGCTTCTTTATTTCAAAATGTGCTGTATAATTTATAATTAATTTAGAAATATAATACTCCATAACAAACAGTACAAATATCTGGAACACACAAATTTAAACAGTAAAGATTTCAACTTCGGCGACACACTTTTTATGAGCGAGAAGAAAAATATTCAATTTTTTTCTATATTTTTGTATATTTTTTCGTTACACTCTTTAAATCAGTAACTGCACTCAAAGACATGGCAAATTAACACCTTGGGGGATGAGTCATCAGACACCAAGTTTGCTGACCAAAATTTGCTACAGAGCTGGTTAATTTGTCCTCCGGTTAGTCGCGAATTCCGTCCCTCGCCTCCCTCAGAGGCGCTCGGTAGTTATTGGCGGATTGTAGTTCAGAATCCCCAGAGCCGCAACTTGCGACATCGAACTTTACGGCGCGCGAACGTCAGTGGTGCAGACTGTGGAGCCACCCGCCTCCCACCCACCCCCACACCTCCCACGCCACCCTTGCCGGCCTTCTCTCCCTGCTTTATCTCGCACCCCCCCGCCGCTATCTCCTATCGCGCCCCCCGCCCCTCCTCCACGCCGCCGCCTCTTGCGCTTCCCCGCTGGGGGGTACTACCCCCCCCGCCCGGCCTGCACACTCACCACCACTCCCTACCGCCTCCCCTCGTGCTTCCTTCCACCCCCACCCCTACCCCACCCTACCCCTACCCTACCTTACCCCTACCCCTACCCTACCAAAACCCTACCGCATACGCTCCCCAGATCACCACATCCCCACCCTGCAGCTTCCCGGCCACCAACCCTGTCCCAGCCACTTCCCTACCGCACCACCCACGCCACCCCCACCACCACCCTAGCCAACCTCCCCTGCAGCCTAACCCCGCACATCCTCCCCGGACATGACCACCCCCGCCACTACCTCCCCCACCACAACCTTGCTCCGCCGCAGCCACCTCCACTGCAGCCTTCCCCTCCCACCTCCATCACCACGGTACTCCTCTTCCTTCCCCTGCTACCCCCACCACCCCACCAACCACTCTTGCTCCCTGTTGTGCCCGATCATCCACTCTGCAAACGTCCCCACGTGCGCTCGTCTCCCCAGTGACATTTCGCCGGTTCCGTGCGGAAGCTACGACGAAGAAAGGGGGAAGATGCACTTGCGCGGCACATGAAATTTGACTGTTCCCAGCCCTAAAGAGCCCACCCTCTTCCTTGGCGTTTTCTTACAAGAGACTGATTACTCTCGTAAGGTGCAACTTCGCCCTTGCTTACGGCCTGCTTGGCGTGACGGAGCAAACATTCTTCCCTTTACGGCAAGGGAACGGCAGCCTCGTTGGAACGTCTCCTACTTCCTCTCGTTCCATCTCAAATGTAGGCAACTTAACCGTGAGTATTCTTGGTGGGGAGGGTTAGCTTGTTTTACTACAAACAACCAGCTGCAATATTTATGAAAAGTAGTATTAGTTTTGTTGTTCACGTTCTTGATATACCTCCGGATACTTATGTTTCATTGTTAGGTTAAGCAAATAAATGTAAAGAGAGCATTCTAAGAAGGTAAATTACGAGACGTAACAAGGAAGAAGTCTTCTTTCATTAACGTAGATACTTGGTGGAGTCAAAATTTTTCAATTTTTTTAACATATTATTTAAATGTTGTGGTGCGTTGTTATTACATGATTTATATTTCCATCTTTCATTTAATTTTTCTGCGTTCTGTTTTGCCATGTATTCAAAATGTTTTATATTGTGTGGCCAAAAATTTATAGAAATGTATTCGGAAAAATGTTTTGACTTACGTTTGCAACAATACGGAATAAACGTTCCTGATAATTTCTACAGTTGGCGTTAACAGCTGGTATAAAAGTTGGAGCAACGCCCCCCGGTGGCGTTGGCTCTAAGGAAGATTACGGTGATACAAACACAATAATTTGTGTCATACCTCAATAACTATGTATTTTGTGAATTCGCAGTTTGGAAGTAAAATGTATTTTGTAATTTCTATGTTTAAATGACACCAAAAGAGCTTTCATGTGACACCAAGATTGTCGAATTTGGTTCAGGAATTCCCTCGTAGAAGTTAGGGAGAGTGACAACTTAACACTTATATAATATTTTTTTCTTGTGTACGTACAGGTAATCTGTTAAACATTATCGTTAAGGCTCGTATATTGCTGTAATATACGCGTTAACTCACGTCTGCAAATAAATGCATTAATATTATTGTTACTAGAATTCTTAATAGTTGAAATTGAGTAAGTTGTAAGTAATTTTAGGTAGTCATCCAATATATTAGATCTCGTCTTTTCTGGACTTACACGAGCAAATGCTGATGGAAACATCGGTTCATTACCAAATCAAACATCACCAACTTCTTGATCTGATAACGATCTCCATAACCAGAATATGAAGCACAGTATCTTAATTAAACTACGAACGGAACAAATGACGTAAAACGTCCGTGCGTAAACAAAAAATATTAATATCTTTCTCGATTCCAGCTCACCAATACATGTCGTCGTGAAGGAAGAGGCCGCCATTCCGCGTTGAGCCAGCGACCAATACACATCGTACTCCACACAGCTCTGGACGTTTCAACTCGAAATAGTTGAGTATCAGTGACATTAAGTTTGTGTTCCAAGTAGTTAATTAAAAGTCACAAAGTGTTGAACTGAGTTAAACAAGCAAAAGTACTATTTATTTTAAATATTAATTGCAGTTTTCAACCACCAAGCCCTGACCTAGGTCAGAGCGTAGCGTGTGCCATGGCGCTCCTCGACAACACAGCAGAAATGAAAGCACCTACAACATCTGCCAACACGAAAGTGAACACTTCCTCGCAGATTCAGCAGACAGTTTCATCGTTTTCACCAGAGGGCCCGGACAGAACCTGCAGTCAACAGTTACATGGATACGGAACTCGAGGACAAGGCATCAGTAAGGTGAGTCAGAGCGCGGCCAGCGGCCTGCGTTACGGCCAAGCAAACCTCGACCCCACCAAAGCAGTGATGAGGTCACAGTGACAGTACCCCCCCCGGGCTGTGAATCAAAAAAACTATCCAGCAACCGTGAATATAGTGTACCTGTTAGGAATAGATATGCTCGTCTTGAATAAATAGTGACCAGGTGATTAGATTTAACCACATAGACGACGATATAACAAACGAAGTAGAGAACATAAAAATTCCCCTCTCATTATAAAAGACATTTCTAACATTTCTCATTTTTTACAAAGATATTAAAAATCAAATAAATGTTCAATTCACCTCGTTAACTTGGAAAATATAAAATATAATCCCGATTCCTAAACCAAACACAAATAATTACCATGCAGGGAATTATAGAGTAATAAGTATCTTCCCAACTATTTAACAAATATTTCAAATAATAGTTTTGAAAAGATTCAACTGTAATCTTATAGTCAAACGCCATCTCAAATCATCAATTTTACTTTAGAAACCACTTCTCAACTGCACACCAATGACTAAGAATAAGTTAAGTCATTCAAATAGCCTTCCAAGAATAGAAACACGCAAGATATACTCATAGATGAATCTCAAACTTTTGGTAGAGTTTACCAACCCGCAGTAATCCACAAACTCAAAACAATAGGAACACCTAAAGAGTCATCACACAATTTGTATCAGACATATCTTTCACAGTAACCATAGATAACCATAGCTCGAACACATGCACAATAGAAGCAGGATTACCACAAGACTCACCACTATCCCCAAAGCTATTCAATCTTTTCGCAGCAGACATCCCCATCACACATCACCACAACTTGCTCAGTTTGCCGAAGATACGACAATATTTATATCAAGTCGCACGCTTACACATAGCAATACAAAACTTCAACATTTAAATGAAATAGTCGAATGGGCAACAAAATATAAGAAGAAACTAAATTTTAACAAATCAAAAGCAAAATATTTTCTTTGAGACCATTCTCTGCCACACCCGTCACTAAAACAATAGTCAAATTCACTACATAAAAATAAAATACTTAGATCTAAATCTTGACACAAGACTCACCTGGAAAAAAACACATAAACAGTCAAATAAAATAGGCCAAAATCGGATGAATTCAAATCAAAACAATATTGAATAAAAGCCCGAATATCTCATTAACAAATGCAACAACACTGTACAAAACCATTATTAGGTCCATAATGCTAAATGCATGTCCAGTCTAGACAAATGCCGCACCGTTCAACATAAACAAAATGAAAGAAATTCTCAATAGATTCCTCAGATTAATTACAAACGCCCCATAGTTTATTTCAAGTTAAAAACTTCACAGACAACTAAATATTAACTCAGCCACTTACTAAATAGCATGCCTATCTATTAATTTCTACACCAGCATGATAAATCAATTAAAACAATACAATTTAGCTTCAACTAAGAAACAAGATAAACAGCATATACTTGTTTATTCCTATCAAACTTTTTTTAAGCAATTGTGAATAGTAGGTACTTTCATGTAAAATTTGATCTAATGTTGTAGTAAAAAATAGAACTATGTTAACCATAGTTTTAAGTTAGTAGTAACAATGCAAACGAAAGAGTGTAAACTGATATATGTACAATTCCAACAAGCAATAAAAAGGGAAAAATAACATTAAAGAACAGTCCGCCTTGCAGACAAGGAAAGAATCCTATCCCTTGAACAGCTGCGGCAAATCGGAGACCTCATGTCACGTAGCACATAGTTGAGCGTGGAGGTCGAGGACAACTATTTCTAAGCAGGATATGGAGAGTCAGTGGCACCCTAGTTAATCGCGCCGACTCATTCAATAATTAGAGTAATTTTCTGTCAGGCTTGTTATTGCGTCGAATTCTTGTCGGCTACTCTCGGTATAGATAATCCGTAACTTTACATGTTCATTTCGATTTTACTTTCTTGTGTACGTACGTATATACCTAACTCAAGATAAAGTTAGTAAGTTAATGCCTTATTTTACGTGAAGAGACTCACACCATCAGGCCGGCTCTTCCGTCTGACCAGCCAAATTTTTCTACTCTACTTTCACCATCTCTCAGAGAAAAAAGGTATTACTGGGGCAACGAAAAAGGTTCTGAATTTATATAAGACGATTATTTTACATTAATTTTACAACATGAGTTAGCCGGCTTTACTTCTCCTCCAAAAAAAGGCGTACAAAGGATGTTAAAAAAATTAAAAATCTATTATAGAAACCGTGAATTTTTAAGGGCGTGGGTTTGAACCCGCAAACTTGGATACAACGTCTATTACACTAACCGTTATGTCACCAAACGCGCTAATGTTACGTATTGCAAAAGTTATGTAATGCAGCGGAAAATAGATTTCGAGATATCAACGGAAATATATGTTATGGAGTCCCTGTTGTGAGATATCGTAAAAGGGTTATTTTGTTTTTTGATATTTTTTCTTCAAAACGTCTGTCTGTCCTTCTTTTCGTCTTTCGGTGAACAGCACTAGTGCCTAAACTATTCGTAGTTTTGTTCTCCAAAATTAAAATCCATCGATCGACCTGGCCAACTCGAGATCGTGCGAATTTGGTTCTAAATCTTTGAATTTTGTACACTATGTGATCAAAAGTATCCAGACACGTGGATGAAAATGATTTACTAGTTCGTGGCGCCCTCTACCGGTAATACTGGAATTCAATAGGTGTTGGCTGCACTGAGAAGAGGTAGCGATGTAGGTCGGTGAGGTCTGGCACGAAGTGGGCGTTCCAAAGCAGTGCCTGTGCAGGACAGTCCATTACAGGGATGTTATTGTCGTGTAACCACTCCGCCACAGGTCGTGCAATATAAACATGTACTCGATCGTGTTGAAAGATGCAATCGCCATCCCCGAATTGCTCTTCAACAGTGGGAAGCAAGAAGGTGTTAAAAACATCAACGTAGGCCTGACGTGATAGTGCCACACAAAATAATGAGGGGTACAAGCCCCTTCCATGAAATACACAACCACACCATAGCACTATTTTGTACGTGTCCGAATACGTTTGATCACATAGTGTATGTTCTTTACATGAAGCGTCTGGAACATTTTCAAAATGTTCACAAAAATTTCATTAATTTTTTTTATATTTCCTGTAAGAAGAGAGTAAAATTACACATATCAAGATGGTAAGTCTGGAATATTTAAAAACATACATAGATTTTTATTCATTAGTATGTAGGCATAATGTTTAACATTGGTATATTATCATTGGAAATCTGTTTGTGTGTTCATTTACCAAACGGATACATTATGCTTCAAAACATCTTTAAAACAATTTAACATTTTTATTACTGATTAATAAATCAAGATTGTCACTTATTACACAACTGATAACGTTTCGGGAAACGTTCTCCCCTTTTTCAGTATATAATAAAACATTGACATATAAAACACACTGAAAAATATACAACTGTTTTCTCTTAGTATAACTCAATTATTTGATTGATTGATTGATTTTCAATGTTCGCGCTTTGATGTAGCACAGACGTGCGCTCCTCAACCACCTCCTTTCTTGAAACCCTCTTATAAGGAACTTTCTACCTCACATACAAAACTTTGATAGATGTCGGTAACCATCGGCCGACGTCCGGTAGCTAGACATGACTTTCTTTTCGTTGCTCTCGCTTTCATACGCGTGATGTGTCGGTAACAGGTTTTCATTCGAACACAATTGTGCTTTCCTTATCGCTTAGCACCAGTTGTCCGTTATCACGCGTAGCTCCATCTACTATCGCGCCCTCGTCGACAAAAAGAAGACGGAAAGTCTTAAGAGAACTCTTGTCATTCGCCAGGCAAGCTATAACCCTCTTTAATTTTTTTTTTATTTGTGTGTGTGTGACCATGAACGTTGCTTCTGCAGTGTCACCGACTTTCCACACTGGCTGCAAGGTGTGTCTCAACAATAGTCTAACTAATTCAATAACGTAATTATTGTCAATATCAGAACGACTTAGTACTCTTCAAAGAACGATACTTCTACATCAATACACTGTCTCCATCGGTTCTGCTACCCTTAGGAAGCCTTTGGAAATGCAGCAACTGGAACCTGTTCAGTTCTTCTACTCAAGGCCTGAACTCCACGGACCGCGCCGTCGGAATGTTGTATCAGAATGGACGGAAGGCCGCGGTAGAGGAAAAAGGCTGTGAGAGCGACATCGGGGTCTGGGAGGTGGCTGGAGTAGAGTTAGCCATGTTGTGTCGAACCAGATAAAAACTAACCGACAACGCAAAGCGAAAATCTGTTTCCGACAAGAATTCGTTCGTGGCTTTGAACCAGAGCAGGGTTGCTTCATTGCGCCGTTAAACTACCAATACTATGGCAGCAATAACATGAGATGGATGGATAAATACTTCTTGTGCCATCATTTTAACTGGACTTTACATATTTTAGATGTGTTAGTGGGGGGTGGTAATATCTATAAATTTGCCAACATGAAACCGAAAAGACAAATAAAACTATAAATTAATGAACATTATATTAGTGAATGGCTGAGTACGAATACTTTTTACACCCACTGTTGGTTTTCTTCTATCAATACTAAGCAAATGCCCGAGCAGTGTCTTAAAAACAGGGTCATGGACAGAGCGAATTCATTCTCTTCCCATGATTTCTCTTCCTCTCTACCTTACTCATACACACACTTATATGCACTACACTTCCACAATTGTCCCGGCCAGTGCACTGCCCCGCTGGAAGAATATATAGTTAGGCCGGAGGGGGAAAGCCCGACGTGTAAGAGGGGAGGAGAAGTCCGAAAGGAAAAACTACTCCGAATCTCATGTTCCAGTGAGGGAGGAACATTGCCACCTCCCCGCGTATTACACGGACTACACTTACGGGATTAGTAGTTGACGCTCCCAGAAAGGCTAATTAATCGATTTACCACACGGTGTATTTAAAGCTGGAGAATGTAACTGACCGGCCTCGTAACCTGTCCAACCGAGTGCTAGCCTCCCCTCGGGGCCGAGGCGTGGGACGGAGCAGGTGGCAGACGCTGCGCGCGGGCTGCGTGGGCGGCGGAGACGCGCGGCGCGCCGTGCCGGCCGGGGGCCCGGGGTCGCGGAGGGCAGCGGGCCCCCAATGAAGACGTACGGCGGCCAGGGGCTCATCTACGCAGGATCATCGAGGTTGGCCAGGGGCCTCCACGTCTGCCTCCTCCCCTCCCTTCGCCCCGCCCC